CTGACGATGTTGTTCTGACGTGTATCTTGTATTTATACAGTAGCACTCACCGGCATCACACCCAGGTTCCCCACACCAAGATTCCACCGGCGTTCACACGCAATGGATTCCGGCTCACGGTCAGTAGTTCAACACATGTTGGATCAAAAGCATTCTTACTGTAATTGCACAAATACAATTGTATGTGTGTAGTTACAAAAAGAATGTTTTCGATCCAGTCCTTTTTTTGCAGTCGGTAACCGGGGAAAAGTTGTTGTATCTGCAACGCACACGGTCATGATCAGTGTGGACAGTTTGAATGTGATTCATTCCGCTTACTGTCTTGAAATATAATAAATAAATAGCTACAATACAAACTGTTTATAGCTTAATAGCTAGACACCTAAATCTCGAACCATCTGAATAGAAGCAGACGATGTACATCGGCTGATGAATTTTTGGCAGGGCAGTTACAAGCATCCTAGAAATGACCGCACTAGAAATCATCAAATTAGCGAAGCGAACTGTACAAACTGTACATGTATACAGCCAGCATTATCTTACCTGGACGTTAGAGTGCATGGTTCCAGTTAACCCCGCGGCGCGTTAAATTACCAATAAAAATTAAAATGAAATGAATTTTAAACATTGAAAAACATCCACAGTTATCCCTATCGTAATACTCGTAGTATCACTGGAGATTTTCGCGCGTATATTCAGTGTGCCCAACACGGCTACATATCTGGCTCACCATAAAGCAGAAGTATCTGGCTGTTTTCCCTTCTTTGCGCGTTAAAAAACATCCGGTAAGCCAAGACTTCCAGATTCCAGAATTAGCACACAGCATCGTTTTCCAAGCTTTGCGTTTTGCACACGACGCAAGTGCCTCCATCGATATCCGTGCTGTCGTGCGCCAGATTATTCTGAGCAGACGCAATTAAGTAGGCTCCAGGGAAGGATGGCGCCAAGTGAATACATTAGATGGGCGGGGTTAAAATGCTTCCACTTCTCTTTCTTGTGGTCTTTCCTGTGGTTCTTAATCTGCCTGATTTGATTGCTCGCACTACAGCGACGGGACTGGTGAATATTAAGAATACGACGAAAATAATAGTCCGTTTCAGCAACATACAACAAGACCAGCAACGGTTACACTACTTGCACATGCTCATCCAACAGTAAAAGTATAATAATATTATTATACTGCTGTTCTATTTGCAGGTTGTACCGGGTGGCTGAACAAAATGGCCGTCTATTCTGATGGTTTGTTTCGCGTGAGCCACTCATTGTACCGCAAACGGCTTAGACTCATTAATTCTGATATACATTAATCTACTTGGCTGAATACCAGTATTTCTAATCAGGAAATACGATTTTGTAGGAAAATTCGATTTTGTCTCTGGGTCAACCTCCAATTCCTCCCATTTTTGAAAAATAATTTATTAAAAAGTCATACCGTACCATAAGATTGTAGTAGAACTCGATGAAACTGTATAGTGGCGTCTTGAAAAGACAGTTAAAGGAAATGACGCTTCTTTGCTCCAGAAATGTTCTTTCTCCGGGAATAATTAATCTGCTATGCGCCAGGAAAATTCTTTGCACGGAGTCAGGTTGCTACGAGGAATTTCCCAACAAAATACTGTATCCCAATATTAATGTTACCGCCACAGATTAAATTTTACGAGGGGAAATATACGAGTAGCATTTGCGGTAACGCATATTCAAGTCTCTTTCCGAAAAAGCAAAATACGTGAGTTTGCGAATGCGTTACCGAAGATGCTTTGTTTGACCTTTTACTTGTGCATTTACTTGTTCAGCTTAACAACAACAAACTTAGCCAGGCCACGACTCTACTGTCTCTACACGGGAATACACATAACAACGCGGACATGCCACCAGCGCCCTGATTATAAAAACCGGCTGAAACCGGAAAGGCCCTTCGTCCTCGTCGCGGAGTGCCGCGTAGACAGGTCTGTCGGGCTGCTCATCGCGGCGATGATGGTAGCAGCGATCGACCCATCCGGCTCCTTTCTTCTTCGAGTTGGAATCGACCAACGCTTGGTCTCCGTTGATGTCTTGATTAATCCCAGCATATTTCTCCTAGCTGTTCCTGAGGAGATTGATTCCAGTTCCATTATATACTGATCACAAAATTAATTTTCTTTATAAGAGCGATGACGACGATATGCCGCGAACGACGAGCCAAACGCAGACGAAGGCAGATATTCCGACCAGCGCTCGTTTCCAGCTCACCAAAACCGACATACTTTAAACTCCAAAGTACTCATATAGTGCAATGCATCCGTAATTCTGTATTACCCTAAAAAAAGCGGCAATATGCTTGATCAGACTGCAAAAATGTCATCAAGCTTCGATATATACCGCAACAGTAATGAAAATGCGTCCAGTTAATCAGCCAGTAACCGACCAGCAGTAGTCCGGGTCGATCAGATTACGGAGCCCAGCAAACGGCATATACAGATATTATATTAAATTGTTCGTCTTAGATTAGTTAAACGCGGCAAATTACAGTAATTCTAGCATACTGCAAGACGGATGTAATTTGAAGGAGGCACGTATTCGATGTACTGATATTTCGGCAAAGGTCACGCAACTGGTACGGCAGGATACATTCAGTGGACAGCTGTCTCGTGTTTTCTTAAACCGTGGAAACTGTATAACTCGGTTGCGCCGTCTCTGTTTTCCATCCTAAACGTACTGTACTCTAAGAAAGATGATTAATTGAGGATGGAGACTTTGTCGTGCATCAAAACGTTTTGACGCCTGCTGATAGTGACTTATTTCAAGAGATCGATCTCTCGCTGCTAATACTGCCATTTCAGATGCGCCCTCGACATAACACGAAAAAGGGGCCGAAGTACTTCGTATTAATAAACCTACAAGGAAACCTAAAACCTAAAAACCTACAAACATAAACCTACAAACCCACAAGGGTTGTTTTGTACGTTGTCGCTCAACTCGCAGCCTCGCTGTGGAACGTAATACGGTAAACTATAATAACAGCATCTGCTGTGCAGTCAGGCTATACACTGGTCAGTCTGGTCTTACACTCGTACATAGTTTTAAATACAGATCCTTTGGATTTACATTTACAACTGTAGTCACCATCCTGTAGTTCATAACGCTAAAAACTAAGCGCAGTTCGGTCATCGGAAGTGACCTTGCTACGCATGATTATTCTTCCTTCTTTACCACGTCACGTTCTGCCTTAATTCAAACTGGCGGTACACAACGGTCGTCAGTTTCTGAAGTATTATGTAAACGATTTCTTCTGATTACACAGTCTTAGCCAAAAACGGAAACGTGCGGCTTAAGGGGACCACTAGCAGTAGAAAGTGGGTCTGGGAAAACGGGAAATGTTCAAAAACGATGGCCAGATATGTCTTTTCCCAACTTTGACTGAACGCAGAGAGGATTTGACAATTGTGGACGCGATCCTCTCTGGCAATATAGATCGAGCTATTCATCAAACAAAGAAAAAACTTTGAAACCAAAAGTTGAATGAGAAAGTTTCTTTGTTTAGGATGTAATACACACTGTTGTGTGTGTTTTCCCCTAGAAAGCTTATATACCGAAACATGCTGATAAAAAATTTTCAAAATATTCAATTAAACGCAAAAACACTTTTCGAAAAGTGTTTTTCGCAGTTATTCGGAGTGCAGTCGATTGTGCAACACTGGAGTTTCGGTATATAAGCTTTCTAGGCGAAAACACACACAACAATGTATAGTACATCCTAAACAAAGATACTTTCTCATTCAGCTTTTGGTTTCAAAGTTTCTTCTTTGTTTGATGAATAGCTCGGTCTAGACACAGGCCAGAGAGGATCGCGTCACACCATTGTGTAGCTAAATCCTCTCTGCGTTCAGTCAAAATTGGGAAAACACATATCTGGCCATCGTTTTTGAACAGTTCCCGTTTTCCCAGACCCGCTTTCTACTGCTAGTGGTCCCCTTAATCACAAAGAGGAGTTCGGCCAAAATAGCCGATGCTGGTGGTGTTCCCATAACCGATGCCGCGTTCCCGTACATGGTGCCCAATTCGTGCACATGTACCACAACACTTTTGCTTTCGCCCACCACAGCTCACCGTTTTCGAGGGTTCTCTGTTCCTGCCGTATCATCTCCCCGAGTTCGGTGCCAACGAGAGCCATCCGGTCCGAGATAATAATAACTGGTTTACTGCCCTTTGCTACAAAACAGCGCCTCCTTTTAAGGTAAAACAAAGAAAAAGATGACATGGGATACATTCAGGACACAACAGCTTTTAAGTGACCTTACATAACACAGTTATGGCTAGGCTTCCGACCGATGTCTTTGCAGTTGTGCACGTCCTGCCCAGCGAGTCGACCCATTCACCGCAGTGACGCTTGCGTGCATAATTATGTTGTCTGTGCTGTTCACATTGATGATTGCGAATTTCCACCTGGCCTTTGTCGTTCTTTCTGGTTTTACTAAGTCCTTCGTGCATGCATGAGATGGGAGATGATTGGACAGTATAAATAGTGACAGTTATAACTTTTACGTTATGAATAGTGAATCACATTAGAATACGGCTGTATATTTATAGCTAATGATATTTAATTACAGTACAGTAAATACTGTCATAAATGGTGTACCTATAGAAGTATTGTATAGGTATCTGTAAACTACGTCGACGTTACGACGACTTGTATCATACCGCCCATACGTACTTCTATCAAATTTTCTGTAAAATACATACATAATTATTATACGGGTAGCAGGCTGCCCGCTGCCTACAGCTAGCGCCTAGCGGCCACTAAAAACCAAGGTTGGCCGCATCCTTCCAAGTTGTTCTAGGGGCGTTATAATTACAGTGGTACAGTCCAGTGCTGTTCACTCTTCAGCCAGGCCGCTGCGCCGCACGCAACCGCATGCACCGAATCCTTACGGATTCGAATAAAATACAGTTCGAATTATTTGCCCACCTACATACGTGCAAGCACGTGCGAGATCAATTCAGCAGCCAACACTTCTCGGAAGATGTCGAATGACGGCGATTTTTTACGGCTCTGCCTGCAGTGGACGTTGCTGCCCGACACAACCCGTCAGCAAGGTGAGCTGCTCGTTGCCAGTGGACCGAAAGTCATTTTGTACGGCAAATGCCATCCATCACCCGTTCTCTGTCGCAGGCGAGATGGCTCTGCTGCAGCTGGAACATCGTGAGGACTTTGGACCGCTCCTGGTGTCGATTATTGATGATCCATCCTGTGCATTAGACATCCGTGCGGCCGCTGCCGGAGTGCTGAACAACTACATTCGCAAATGCTGGCCGGTAAAGAATGTGAGCAGTAGGTGAATAAAGTACCCATACCTTAGAGTTGGCGTATTTGCATTCTGCAGGAACCCCATAAAGCGCAAAGTGTGCTGGTTCCCGCTGCCACCTGCGACTACCTGAAGCAGGAATTGGTTCCTCTCATGTATCGTGTCCCGCAAATCATTCAACAGAACGTACGTTTTGATTACTGTACAGCACTCGGAATTCTATCGCGCACTGCGCAACCTGAACAAAATCATTATAAAGCACTACAAGAGTTTTTATATATTGGTATTTCCTAATGTTTCTTGCACTTTCATTTTCTTTTCCAGTTGTTCCTTTACATATTATCTAATTAATCCTTTGTTATGGACTTATGGTGTAGTTTTTGTGTCTCTCTGAAATTAGAGTATTTTTTGTAATGGCCGGAAAACTTGCGCGATGTGGGCTGCTTTCCGGAGTGACTTCATTGACTTGTGTAACGCGAATTTAATTTTGTTGGCGCAGATCAGCGAAACTATCACCGGTATTGCGAAGATTGATTTCCCAACGAACTGGCCTGCTTTGATAACTGACCTCACAGCCAGATTCGACGCAAAGGAATCTGATATCGACGCCATTCTGGCGTCTCTACGCACTGCCCACGGCCATTTTAAGCAGTGCGCATACAGATACTTACATTATATGCACTTCGTTGAGCAGTTGTAATTTTTTAATGGTCGCTTTTCTAATGCTAGTTATCGTGTCGCCTGCAAATCGCCAGCCCTAGTGGAAGAAATCCTTCATGTCGTGGATAAGTTCGCCACCAAGTTCACAATGTTATTCGAGGTAGGTATTTTGTGCAATACCTGCCATTGCAGTAAGTAACCAGTAACATTCGTAATTTCCTAGTAACCCCGCTCATTTCTGCATCACCGTCCTGTTGAAGCAGTAATCGGATGTGTTGTGCATACGTGTAATTATATACTTCTAGGGAATTATCGCCGACATTCCGAATCTGAAGGAATTATCTCGTGAGGATTCGCATGCGACGGTCACCCTGATTAAAGCGTTCCATGTCGTTCTGTTCTGCTGTAAAATCTACCACAGCTTGATTTTCCAAGGATTTCCCGAGTTATTTATCCAGAATTTCCACGCCTGGATATCCAATTTTAACACACTTTTGTATTACGAAAACAGCGATCTGCGCGCTGACGTAAGTTTATACTTGTTGGTCAAATGGTCGTATATAGCGCATTTATAAATCTTACAGAATGAATTTGAATTGTATCGTATGGCGATAGAATGATGATGAGCCGGGTGTTCTGCGCAATATCCAGTCGGAAATCTGTGACATTCTCACCCTGCTGGCTGTTCAGTATGACGTTGCTTTTGATCCTTATGCGGCACAGTTTGTGCAGAGCGTTGTTACGCTGACGACGAAGGCCACACCGTGGATGCAGGACGACCAGGTATGGTACGCGAATACTAATATTATTATTCTTCCTCGAAGAACTTGTGACCGAAGCGTACGGATAGTACCTAATACTACTCGGTACAGATCTGTGCGTATTTACTTAATTTTGGTTTGGCCACGCCCTGCTGACGTTTGCAGGCGAAAGTATGTTAATATTCTAGCTTCCTTGGAAAACTGAGATTTTTCTGAATTTGGAGACGGCTGGTGCGCCGTGGCTGCTGTTTGTGTTGGACGTACAGATGCAATGCTGTCTAATGCATTTCAGCTGGTCCTGAGCTCCATGGAATTTCTGAGCGCAGCACTGGCGCAGGATGTATTTCGCAATGTGTTTAATGGAAAAGGCTTACTCGAGGCCGTTTGTGAGCAGATCATCCTTCCAAATATGCAGCTGCGCCGTGAGTGAAAGCAACTTCGTGGCGGTGATAAATTGTTTGGAGTGTTGTTAGGTGTAACTTGGTACGATGACCTTTACAGCGTCGGATACGGATGACTTTGATTCCCAGCCGGAAGAATGTATCCGTCGTGATATTGAAGATTCAGGTAACTTCTTTTCCCCTATTTATTCTGCAAAATTCGTATGACTATAAAGAACCGTATAAAAGGTTTCTTAAAACACCGGTAAAAAAATCGTTGACATTCACATGCAGAACTGTAGTAATGGCCCTTAATGGGTTCAGTGGGTAGGAAATAAGAATGTCTTCGTACGGCGAGACGATGCCTCTTTAAATGCAGCAGTTGATGGTGGCGCTAATTCGAATGGCTGGGATACATTCAAGACGTGGACAACAAGCAGCAGCCACAACAGAGCTTCTGGATGCTTATAATAAACGTGCATAAAATAAAATCAGTAAATCAGAATATCAGTTCCCGCACAGATCGCGTTTGGTGCCCAATTTTCGGACCTCAACGAATCATGAAATGATTCCGCTGGAATTTAACCTGAACCGACAGGAAATCATTGTACAGTACAGTTTGTAGTCTTGAACCAACTTCGGTTTGGCGAAACGAGGAAATTTCACCGTTTAGACGAAAATGTGCATATGGGGCTTACAAAATGCCGCACACGTAATATGTTCATTAGGCGTCCTTGCGACCAACTCCTGTACCTGTGTTGCAGATATCCCAACACGCCGCCGAGCCGCTGCTGGTCTGGTGCGCGCTGCCATGATATTCCACGAGAAGCGCGTTACGGACTGCTTGCTGGCCTGCACCGAGAAGTGGTTAAGTGTGGGTCACTATAGCTTGCACCGCTTCCATGCATCGCAAACATTATAGTGCTCTCTATTACTTTAGGAATATCAGAAAGATTCCCATGGTAATTGGCAGATGAAAGTCTGTGCCATTTTCCTTACGATGGCCTTGGCTGCGAAGGAGCAACGGCCACGGGTACGACACGACTACGAGCAGTTGTTGTACTCTTGACATTTGATCAGTTCGACCGAGGCGTAGCAAAGGTCATCTAGGTTAAGCAGAAACGCTACGCTTCGGTCATGCAGTGCCTGCAAACAGCGAGCACGCTTCCCTAATGGCAACGTTAACGAGGCTGACCTTTTGTCTGTGTGAATGCAGTGTGGAGCGACGGCGATTAATCGTCACGTTGACGTGGTGGCGTTCTGTCAGCGCCGTATTGCTCCGCATATTCACAACGGTCCCGGTAATTCCTTTGACTGTCAACGAGTGCACTTTTGCGTTTCGAACGTCAGTTTATGTTAGAAGATCAAGCTATGCTCCTGTTCGCTTGCCTGAAATTTGTGGTGACATTTGGAGCACAGGTACAGTTGCAATTGCACGCAGTACGCGCACTTCGCTACTGGTCAACTGCACTGTGTGAATCAACAAATCTAGCACTCGGCCGAATTAGCAGCCACTCGAGCGGGCGACTACTTGAACATCTTGACCAGGCTGACCGATATGCCGAGCGCTTTGTAATGCAACCGGCATAATGCACATTCAAGAGAACGGTCGCTCTTTCATACACTGTAGTTTTATTTCGTCTGCTGTATAGAAAGGTTACACTTTTTTATATTGTCTGCTTTGTGGTGTTCGTTAGTTATTTAATTGCTGGATATAGAAAGTATTAATCATGCGATCCAACAAGTGCACACCAACACGGGCAAATGTAAAGGGTGTCAAGTTTGTTGATTCACAGTGTGCAGTTGTACGAAATGATGGCGATGGCGAAGTATGATGGTCATTTTATTGTGTTTTGCTGTCAGCTTCCGGTGGAAATGCTGGTCTCCTTCTTCCCGGCCGTGGTCCGCCATTTAGAATCGCCGTATACGGCGGTGCACACCTACGCCGCACACTGCCTGGAACGACTGCTCTCCCTGAAAGAGCGGAGCACGGGGCGGTTGCGCCTCACACCGCACCAGCTGCCGCTCTATCTCGGCGCACTGGATCGCACCGCCTCCCTGAATCCTCTGCCACCCCGGACGCTCTTCTCGCATCTGCTGGCCTGTCGCTGGACTAGTCCGCCGGATGACGCCCATCCCCGTGGACGACTGGATGAGAACGAATACGCCATGAAATGTACACGCACTACGCAGTTGCTGGCAACGGTGAACCGTGGTCACTTTCCTGCTTCCTTAGGTGTTATGCGAGCACTGTCCTTCTTCCAGTGGAGCAGCGAAATGGGGCCGCATTTGATGGACATTGTGCCCCAACTGCTGCAGCGGATGGACAATGCGATCATAGCCAGTACCACAAACGTAATACAATGGGAAACAGTACTCGCATACCTGCTTAACGCAGCTTATTGTAGGATCATGATGAGTCACATACTTACGCTTCTTGTTTACTCGTTATTGTCCTTCTTAGCTACTGTTGGTATTAGTTAGTTCTCCGACCATTTTGTCATGTTTTCCTACCGGAATTATTGACAAATTCATAGCGTTTCCTTAATATCTGCTAAATGCGCTGCTGAGTAAATGCGCTGCCTTCTTTTACAGAATCCATCTCTCATGCAAAATCCGGGAAATGCGCGCTACGCTCATTATGTGTTCGAATCCACGGCATTATGCATCCGCATAGCTTGTCGAGAGCGCGCGCCTCTTGTACAAGTACTGGAACAGGGCTTACTAGCCGGCGCAACCGTTGTTCTGCAGAAATCAGTCGAAGGTAACACGACAAGTTGACAAGCACTTTAATCCTTCCATCTTCGCTGACTCCTGTCGCAATGACGGCAATGTATTAGCTGCCCGGCATTTCCAACTGAATATTGCCGGTGCATGGCGCATAAAGCCGATTCGTGTATACATATGATCCAGTATACAAATCAATCGTTGCTGAACGTCGTCTAGCATGCGTCCCGTACGTGTTGCAACTGTTGGCCCAACTACTGGAGAGTCGAGCCGGCAGCGGTGACGTTCCCGCCGACTACCTGCTGCTACTGGATCGGCTAGCGCTGTTGTACCCGGCATCGCTGCGCGGCAACGAGGCGCTGCTGCCGTCGCTGGTCCGCCTCGTGGGCGCCTACTTCCAGGCCAACGCCCAGCAAGTGGTCGGACAACTGGTAAAAAAACACAGCCGTCCTTTGCGATTGCTTTACTCGGCTAATTGTTGCGAAAATGGCTCGGTTTATATACTCATCAATGCATTAACATTGGCGCAGACTTGCTGTCTACCGTAGATAAGTATCCAGTTAAAAGCACAACATTCTCGACTCTTGTAGAAGCCGGCACTGGGCCTATTCAAGATGCTGGTGACGAGCCAGAAGTACGACCACGAAGGATTCAACCTCTTGCGACCCATCATCGACAACACTCCACGGTAGAGCACCGTGTTTTCCGCTTGTCCGTGTTTGCTGGACAGTGCGCCTGCTGACGTTTGTGCGTTAAATTCCAGAGACAGTTTGCAGGAGCATCTAGCAGGGATCTTTACCCTCTTCTTCCAGCGCTTGCAGTACAGTAAAACGGAGTAAAACGGAGAAGTTTGTCCAAAGTAAGTACGTTCTGCCAGACTCTGCAGCGTTGGACTGGATTTGCTTGAGCAGTTTCTTATCAATTATGCGGTGTATATGGTGTGGTGTAGATCTGGTGCCGACACTGTACCTCATGGTGGTGCGGCTGGGAACGGCCGCCTTCATTTCCAGTGCTGATACGGTGCGTATGCATACGCTGGTCCCGTCTTTTCTATCCCAGCACATTGTGGTTTCGTTGACGAAAGACGTACCTGGCTGAGCTTTGTTGGCGAATATGGCAGGTACAGCCGAATATTTTTGCCATGTTGTTGGATCGCATTATGCTGCCGGAAGTGCTAAAGGTGCAACGGCGGCTGCCTCGGAAGCTGTGCATTGTCGGCTGTGTGGCGCTGCTGACCGATACTGTCCACGTGTTGGACGGCGTCTACGATTCACGTGGCGAATTTTTACTGTACTTATTTTTTCTGAAACTTTTCCTGTTTTTTTTCGAGTGGAGTTCTTCGTTCAGCACTTGGTGTCAGTTAATGATCAGTGGTTTTGTTTGCAATGCAAGCCGGTATTTAAGGTATATAGGTACCTACATACTGTATCTGAGTCGTCAATGCCGCATGGACATTGGACACAAAACTGCAGACTTGTTGCGAGTTGAGCGATAACAGTGCAACGTTTGTAGGATGAGCATCCTGGAAGCTTGCGTCAAGTTGACTCAACGGCCTCCGGAAAAGGAGAATGTGGAAGATGCGCATTCATTTGGTGCGTGCGGGGGCAGTTACCTAGTTGACTGTTGTTGAGTGCTGATTGGTTAATTTGTTTCCAACCCTGACCCTGAGACACGCAGTATGTCATTCTTTGTGCAGAGGTGGCACGGGCCACTGCGCCGCATCAACTGGTGTTCGCCAGAAAGGCCGAAGGAGACTACGTCAGCGGTGTGGTTATGGATGACAGCCAGAAACTTCTAGCCACACAGCTGGCCAGCTTAACCCTTAGCCGACCGGAAACGGTAAGGAATCATTCTTTATTAATAGTCATTTTAAGAGCGGTACTTAATTATCAGTTATCGTGTGTATTTATTAATAATGAAATACATGCTTTATTCACTTGAGTTAAACTTGATCGGTGCTTGATTTCGTAGTTGTACGTTACATGCATAAGTGGTGTGCTTGTCAGTTTGTGTTGCTGATAACCGTCATTCACGTATTACGAGCACGTTTCCAGTTTGTTATTAATTTTTATGGTTGAACTCCCGTGCAGTCGAGTAAAATTGGATTACAGTGGATGTTAGCGTGCTGGGTAAACCGTTCTTATGGTAGGTGCGCGCCAGACTGCACGACTGCTCTGTTCCCGAAGTACGGAAGTTTGTTGACCGCTACTGTCCGATGGCCAGCGTGACCCTTACATAATGGAAGTTTGCGCTGGTGCGCTAACTTTGTTTAACGCGGTAAGAGAAACGCCGGCCAGCATGAATTCTCGTTAAAGCAGGACATTGATGGACGATTGCTGGACTTCGCACGGACGTGATGACTGCCTCCTCAATATCTCCGTGGAATGCGGAATCGTCCTGTTTACTAGCGGATTGCCTGCCTGCCCTTTGTCACCGCAGCTGCTCCCGCGCTTACCTGTTCCTCCTCTTATTGCTTTTCCGTCCCTTTCATCGGCAGCGGGAGTTAACCTAGTTACTCGATAGCATTGCGCGAAATTTGGTTGTGCGTTAAGCGATGGCTGTCATTTCATTTGGTTTTGCACGCGTGTCGGATCGAATATAATTTTTGCAACCGTTAATGTTGAATGTGACCTTTCAACTGCTGGAAGTTACCCGCCTTCCCACCCCTCTTTAGCATCATGTTGTACTGTTTAGACTAACGCATGGGTACTTTGTAAAATATTGAATAAAGCCCAGTTCTCACTCGCGCAGCTTTTCGCCATGGTACGCACAGAACCGCACCGGAAGGTGCACTCATACATCCTGACCACGAATCAGGATCCATCACCCTGGCCATGTATCAGGGCATCACCTGGCCACGAATCAGGTGCCGCAAAACCTCCCTGGCCACGTACCAGGAAGCAGCTATTCACCTGGCCACGCATCAGGTGTCCCACTCTACGCATGCGCTCCTTCCGGTGGTCCACGTTTCCACGAGACTCCGTTTCCAACGTTTCCAACGTCTCGTGGAAACGTTTCCGACGTTTCCACGAGACTCCGCGGCCGAGCTGAGGCTGGCCACATGCCCCAACACTATCGCCGGCGTTTCTCTTATTATGTCGTTAATCAGTTTTAATGGGCTTCTCGCAGCGTACATGGCACGGGCGCTCTAACATGCATAATTATTACGTGTTTCCTTTCTTGCTGTTTCTGTGATTGCTGTTGTAATTGCCGAGTTTCTGCTTTATTCGACAAATAGCCAGTCTACATAACCATAAGCTTGCGCTGGTAGAAAGTGATTAAAATGTTTAAATAAGAAGAATGTCATTTAAAGCGGAGATCAGGTTCCGAACAAAGCACAATTAATCCGTGTACATGCAGTGGAACAAGCTGCACTAAGGGAAAGCCAGCTGCCAGTGTGCGTGTTCCGTATAAATCCATGCAGTTAATACGGTAAATAAACGGACTTATGTATACTAGTGCATGTGCGTTGGTTAGTTGTATGTGTACGAATCACGCATACATCTATCATACAAGTTACAACTAAGGCACTTTCGCAATCGCCATTGGCTGAATCAGCGCTTGTAGCCGGCAGATATATTGGCCTGTTGACGGTTGGCGAGCCCGGCAGAAAAGTGGTTTTTCTCCCATATATCTGCCGAACAGCTCCCACATTTCTGCCGACCCTACCCTATGCATTGTCTATGGGAACTCCAATATATCAGCCGAACCGGCACAACAGTGAAATTTGACACTTCTACTGAGCGCAAACAGCTGTCAATAGCACGGCGAGGCTGCAGCATCAGATGCGACTGCCTAATGAGATGCGAATCATGCGACTACCTAGGCACATTGTACGAGGCACTCGTATAATATCATAATCAGAGAAGCGCGCAATCTTATTAAAGAGAATTAGCGGAGCTAATTCCAGTTAAGGCAGCAAAGGAAGAACAGTCGGTGCGATGTCTCCCGTTGGACAGTGGTCAACAGGACAAGCGCGCCGCAAGCGTGGGCTTAGTAACCGCGGCATATATGAAGCCAAACTGTTCGCATGGATACCCATGCCATTTCAATGTTTAGTTTCTGTGGTTTCCTGAGCGTAATGGATTGATTGCGCGACACGTGCTGCGTTTCCGATTCTCCCGCTAAAATACGGAAGAAAGAGTATGGCATCGTACTCGTACACACACTGTAACTGTGGGAAGTAGGCAGGGAAAATGCACTGGATATTTACGATTAGTACAACAATGTGTTACACAGAACAATTCCAAAATCCACGGGCACCACAGATTACTAATTTACTACTGTATTAGATTTAGAGCAGCGCGGTCCAGTCAAAGAACAGGAAGCAGAGGCCGAAGCCGGGTTACCGGTTGCAATATCTGTAAGTGTATAGGTGCACTAATAACAGCAGCCTGGCGATCATACGGGACTTGCAGTTCTTGCTCATCCTCGACCCAAATTCCGTTTTGAATTAATCAAGCCACCTGTTCGACCTCTTAATGTAAGGTCATCAAGTCTAAAAAATGGTTAAACATAATCAGCAGCGGAATGAGCTTAATGGTCATCCCATATAAGTCATTATGACCTAATCCCAAGACTAATGCTTTAACTAAAGCCAAGGAAATTATCACAACCTTTTCCCGTTGTACACGTTTTCAGCCATAACCTTGGCCTTCATGAAACTGAACGCGGTTCGGTGCTTCGCAGTTAGTTGAATACGGACATATTGCACCGGGTACTTTCTGGAGTGAACAGAAGGTAGAAAATTTTTGATTGTCCATATTCATTCAAAATAGAAATAGTTTGTGGTGCTGTGGGAGCCTTGTCAACCATCCAGATTAAAATTACTATAAAAAATGCACGTTGGCGTGCATTGGCAGACCGGAAGCGCAGCTGCTTTCGCTTTTGCATACAATATTTTCATGTTCTACCAATACCATAAATAAACTAGTACAAAGTACCAGTGAGTTATTAACATAATATTTTAGACTTAGCGAAAAAACCATTTTCACTCATCCTGATATCTTGAATATCGAGAGGACGCTCCGGAATATTATTCGGCAACGTTGTAGCAAGGGCCGAAGAGCAAGAATTAGTAATGCTGGGTTAAGTAGCAACAAAGTTGAACGAACCAATAAATAAATACATGTATTATTACATTAACTTTTTCATCTGGTTAAGTTGCAGCAGTTACTAATTTTGCTGTAGAGCAATTTACTAATGTCTGCCGAAGTGTCGCTAAAACGACCACCTTGTTGATTTTTACTGAATCTAATTAGCATACGATGCGCATTCGCAGATATTTTATTCCCGCACAACAATTTGTTACAAAATCATTGGGAAGACGTAAAACAAAAAATTGAATGCTTCCCGTGCGTACTGCATATTGGTTTGAAAGTTCTCATAGGTAATACATTTAATAGAAACAACGCATCCTGCAAAATCAAGGGCATCGAAAATAACAATACAAAAAAAGCAGCATGATCAGCACAACAGACAAAATACGCCAAAACATCCCCATTATCAAACCCAGTATACATGCGTTGGACAAAAAAGTACATGGATACTCGCGATAAAATAAAATTATATTACCAATTATTCCTGTCTCGACTAGAACAAAAGAGGAAACAACCGCTGAACAAAAACGTATTCTTACCAGAAAATGAATACAAATTTTCCAGTTGAATTTTCCAATGAGTGAGAGAAAGAAAGTGTGCGATGGGGATGAAAGAATAATTTAAATATAAAGATGTGCGAGGTTGATCATCATGTCGTCATTACCGCGCTGATCGGTTGGCCACTCCACGTTGGCGGTCAGTTCTTGGAAGGTTATGCGACAGTACATCAGATACCGCACCATTCGTGTCATTCGGGTAACGGACATCACACCCAGTGGGTCGCCAATTTCGGGAAACGGCTTTAAATAAGTAGTGCTCGTTCGAGGATCAGCCGTCTGTCGATGCCGGGCGATCTGTAAAGCATTAATTGTGAGACATTGATATACTACGCTCCACGCCTCCACCGTACATTCAGTTTAAATAACAGTAGGCTTGAATTTGACGGTATTACAACGCTGCTGGCCAGAAACGACGTTGTAGGATGTTTTGCTCTGCTGAGTGTTAGCTCATTGTACGAGTAAAGTATCAGGCTCTCTTACCAGCAGGAGGGAGTTGGTGTAATACCAGATCTCTTGACAGTTGACGGTGACGGATGGCATTTGCTAGAAGCTTCCGTTCCGCGTGATGCAGGCGCGGGCAGCCTTGCTCAATCATGTCCCACCAGTCCGTTTCACTGAGACGCCGCTTACTGTTCATTCGTGCGAACGGGATGCGGACCGTGATCGTCACATGTCCATCTCGCCAGGATAAAGGAATGCGGATCTTAAAATTCTTAATAATCAACGTACGACAAACTGCCGTCAGGGAGTCGAAAGCGTTGTGCAGGACGGCAATGTAGTTTTGCCGGAACGGCAGATCAAGGAGGCAGTCAATATCCTTCACAATCAGCAGCGTCCGCGGGAACTGACCGGCTGCATCTTGGAGGATCCGGTGTAACGACGTGCCGCTGCACAGGGGAATTTGTCTCAGATCTGTCTTCCGCAGACGAGTACAAGTATCGTTTTTTATTGGCTCTCCACCAATGGCAACAGGTTTGTTTGTCCAGCATCTATCTGCACATGCCACTGCGATGTACATCCCTCCAGCAAAGGGCACTGCAGGCAGAAGGAGCTCACTTTGCGTTGGACAGGGAATGTGCAGCTGAGTCTTCACGGCAGCCGATGTGAGGATGCTGTTCCAGTTGGCGCATACCGCCCGCAGCCGGCACTGATCAACGGTGTGCAGATACTGGAAGGTCTCGGCCATAATTTCCGGTGGGAGAAAGCGCAGCTTATTCGCTTCATTCCCGTCTTCGGCATATTGATGCTGATCTTCTGCAAGCGGCGGCTTAAGCAGCGGGTGTCTCTGCAACAATTTGCCTTTACACATGAAATTTGTTTCTCACATTACACATTTAATTTACACAGCAAATTTTCTGTTATTACAGTATATCTGTATTTGCATAGCAGTAGGTTGCGGCGATGCTTACGTAAAACTTTGCAGCTTCGTCCACGATGCTGACATTTATATGGTTTATAAAATGACGCAAAGGTGGTAAGGTTCCGCCTGCAAGGAATCTCATGCGGTTTATCGGAACGACACGTTTGAAATCGCCGTCTGCCAGGTGGAGTTCGACAAGGGCGAACTGACGATGCGGCCA